AATACGGTGCTTTGTAACACTACAAATATTTTGTCTTGTAACAATGCGCATACCTTACCTCAGAACACTGCAAATACGTTATCTTATAACACTGCAAATACGTTACCTTGTAGCGTTGCAAATACGTTACCTCATAGCACTGCAAATGCGCTACATAGTAACACTTCACATACGTTACCTCATAATGCGGCAAACACTTTACCTTGTAAGGATGCAAATACGCTGCCTCATGACGCTACAAATACGTTCCCTTGTAACGCCACAAATACATTGCTTTATAGCGTTACATTACCTTTTCTTTCAGATTCGCTATAATATGTTTGCAACGTTGCTTTTTTAAACCTTTGTCTCTGTTGTCCTATCAGTTGACACAAATTTGTTAAGTTACTCGTCTTCCCATGCTTCTCTTGACTACAATGTGCCCAGCGCATGTTAAATTCTCTTGGGCCTATTTTCTTCATTATATATCGCAGAAATTTCTAATCTACCCTGTAAATGTTTAATTCACTAGTTCCTCTTTCCTCATATCTTATGCCAGAAATTTCAACTGTCTCTTTCTTAATGTAAGCGTAAGTTTCCTTTTTCTTCTTATTTTCCTTTAGACTTCCTCATTGCTCGAATGTTCAGTCCATGATATTCTTAACATTCGTCAGTAGAAATATATGTCGGATACCTGAAGCTTATTTTTCACTCGTAAAGAATTGTTCTACTACTCACTGCAATATTGTAATGGCAATGATAATATAGGACGTTGCCCTACAAGAATCCTTCCCATAAGTTGAGAGGACGGCGTCACCGACAATGAGGTCCCCTCTCGAACATCTCTCTTCAGTATCGAGACTATCATCTATGAGCATCGCCTCCGCTGGGCGGGTCACATGTACAGAATGCGTCCCAATCGACTCCCACGCATCATCCTGTTTGGAGAACCTGCCAGCGGCAAGAGGCTACGCGGTGGCCCTAAAACAGTGGGTGGCCGAGACTTTTACATTCAACTGTCAACATTAAGAGGATCTGCGACGTGCTTTGCAGGAGGGCCCGACTCGTTACCCCGGCCACTTCCACCACCCACACTTCTTTATGACTCCTGTTCACAACTCGTCAGTAGCCATCTTCGACACCGCCACGCAGGGGAGGAATAGGGAGAGAAGATGAGGATCCCGATGCTCGAATGCGAGTGGATACTGACAATGGCAAAGAATTTTTTGGCATTCATTAGCAGTAGGTGTTATCGCTCTTTCCGGGGAGGGGGGGTTCCTTCCCAAATTTTATTTGGAGTAGTAGAGAAATATCAACATTTTGATTATGTCCTTGTTTTTCCTTGGAGTTACATGTGGTATCTATTTTAATTGTTGCTGCTGCTAGTAGTCCTCAAGTGATGTGGTTTCTATAATTTGGCAAAGTCTTTTTTTTTGTGACTGTGTAGCGCCAATCTACAGTGTCAATAGAAGGATGATCTTTGCCACCCCCAAGACTTCACTCGCTCAAACCTATTGATCTCAGAAAGCGGAAGTATACAGCTGATAGTCTAGATTTCTGAACCGATTTGGTGCTATGCGTGACATCCGTATGAAAGTCTCGATCTGACGAGGCTAGACAGAACACGACGTATAGGATAATAGATATCACATCAGGGTTGAGCAAATTATCCTATGTCATAATACTTTGCTTAGTTTCTGGAAGGCATCTTTTGCTATTCCAGTGCGCCTTCGGATATCAATGTTACAATTTCCAAACTCGGTTATAAGACTTCTTGTTCCTTATTTTAGTACGTAAATGAAATAGTACCTTGACGTCGTGGAAATGCCCAGACCTATATCAGTTGTACTCTTATATTGGGTGAGTTATTATGAACACTGGTTCGGCTGTTCATAGCAAGACGTCGTGAATTATCTGAGTTCGAACGGGACATGGTAGTGACTACCAGACCTGACCGGACGCTCTTTAAAATGGTAGGGATATCACTCAATCTACGGCCTCGTGAATGTACCTGGAATTTCTATATAATAAAGTATAAAGATAGATTATAAAGATTTACCTCGAGTGCAGATAAATTCCACAAAATCAAAGACAGACTTGAAGAAGAGAAGCAATTCAAAGACATTATTAAATTCAATGGGTTTAATGTAGAAAGGGTGTATGCACAAACAGGCAAAATTCTTGCAAATATAGTTTATATCTGCGGACTTACCTAGAAGAGTTTCCAAGAAACAAGAAGGATTTTCGGCCTCGTAGCTTCTGAACTCCATTAACGTCGAAACACAGCTCCAATAAACGTATGGTCAATACGGCTGTTTCTTTGCAAAAGATTTCAGGTTCGAATTTACCACGTAGCCCTAAGAAGGGTCCTGATTGGACTGGAGTTATCCAATCAGAGTCCCGGATTAGTACTGGTTTCAAATTCATAGCTGAACTTTGATTGGCAAAGAGTTAGCTCCCTTTACTATCACTTTCAAATTCTTTTAAAACAACGTACGTACTGTACCTGTTAGATTTTCTTATATACCCAATTAGTAACCCACACGTTAAGCTGTCTTTTTTAACCACCATGTACCGTTCGTCTTCTTCCAACTAACACTTAGTCCTTTCTTTTTGCTTTCATTCCTTACCTTGTCAAGACTTTCTTTCAGTTTTCCTTAGAGTCAGCTATCAATGCAGTGCTGTCCGCAAAACTTTTGATTATATCTGCCAGTATTGAATTTAGGGAGATTTTTTATTTCTCTTCGGATCGTCTCGTTCCATGGTAATGCTAATGGGGACTGTGGCTCTAGATATCTCGAAAGCGCTCGACAGGGTTTGACATGCTGGCTTTCTACGCAAGCTCAAGTGCTACAGTGTCATGTGACGACAAATATTTGTCACAATCTAGTCGCTCCGAGCAATTCGTGTAAGGAAGGTTGTGCTGAACGAGCACGCTCCCAGATCATATCATACTAACGCGCGGACGCCCCAAGGGTTTTTGCTACGACCTCGGCTGTTTCTGATCTTCGTCACTGATTTCCCCAATGTCACTAGTTCGCAACTTGGTATTTATGCAAATGACACAACAATTTACTCTTATCTCGGTATCAAATCCGACAGACCCAAAGTAAGGCTAACAATTCTTCTTGAAAAGGACTTCCAATCAGTGGTTAACTGGGGCAAGAAATGGCTTGTAAATTTTAACGCCTTCAAAACAAAACTGGTTTCATTTTATCATGACAGAGGATCTTTTCTGTCTGTTATCTTCATGACTGATGGTAAACTCCAGGTAAGCAACACTCTACGCCTTCTTGAACTTACATTTTCCACTGACATGAAGTCGAGTGACCATATCAATCAATTGATACGTGTACTGCTAGGAAAGTTGGTTCACTGTGTCGTGACAGAAAATATTTTTCTTGTCGGAATCCATCTCGCACATTTATAAAATTACCATTTGAATTGAATTCTGTTGCCATGTCTTTTCTGGTGTTCCTGCTGTACATCTCAAGAAATTCAAAGAGGAGTCTGTCATCGAATTTAATCGACCAGGCATCTCGACTTCAGTCACTTTCTCACCGATGTGACATGTCCGCCATCTCTCTTTTCTACAAATAGTTTCATGGTATCTACTCTGACGGGAATTTTTCCCCTGGTGCCTCGACTACATGAATTTTAATGTGCTACTAGATTGGCATCTAGGTCCCACCCACTGTTGAAATCTCTAAATGCAAACGCCACTTTTACTCCAAGAGTTTTTTTCTCGCACTTCCCATTTGTGGAACTTCTTTCCGATTTCTTGCTTCCCAGAAAACTACAAGCGTCAAAATGTTAATCGTTATCTTGTGTCTTCTTGAACCCTGTTCCTTTTTTGTCCTTTTTTCAATCTTTCCCACTCTCAGTCTTCTCATTCTCTTTCACTTTCACTCCCTGTAACACCCTGCGTACTAGTGACATTATCGCTTGCTTGGTATGAAAAAATTACAAAAAAAAAAAAGAAAAAAAAAGGGAATTAGTCGTTTCTATATAGGAAACATTCGCTATTCATTGTTTCGCTCAGAGTGAATGTCGGCAGTAATTTAGAAAAACTTTCTCTTTAAACTGTTTTTGTTTTCAGGAAAACAGGTTTCTCAAGCCAACTAATAGTTATAGCTCTTTTTTGTAGTGACTGCACCTTCCATTCAAATCTTTTGACTGAAATAGCGTTGAATGTCAACATCTTAATGACGTTATTACTGTCTCTTCATTTTACATGAGCTATACATTTCATTAGTTGCTGCTGTTGAAAGTCTTCAAGTAACGTGGCTTTCTGATATTTGGTACAATGTTTTGTCTGTTATTTTGCAGCGCCAGTCCACGAGATTCAATGAAGGGTTGTCCGCCCTAAGACCTACAGGATTCATTCACTAGAAGTCATTTTTAATCATTGATCTGAGAAAACGTCTGTATACAGCTGACAGTTTAGATATTTTTGAACGGGTTTCGCGCCATACATACCATTCCCGGGCCACGATCTGACGCGCCTATTTAGGAACATGATTCAAGTTTTTATGTTATTGCCTTGGTTTTGTTTCATAGTGCAGCGCGAGTCTACCCCTGGGGAAGATTATTCTGTGTCCAATTTCCTTATCTCCGGAGTTTAAATATATTATAAGGTCAATTTTTTTTCCTTTCCTAATATTATTTCCTTTCCTTTCCTCTATCAAGGTAGGAATCTATAGTTTGTCCTGATGCTAGATATACTCACGAAGATAATGAAATATCATGTCGAGCCAACGCTCGGATTAACACCCCAATGACATTTGAGCCATGGGACAAAGCAACCGACAATACAACCCAGTATTATTTGCCTGATATTTGGAGAAGCGAATGACACCACACAATAAATTCCATTCTTCCCTGTGATGTCAAAAAGACACAAGTCCAACATGACACTCCAATGATTTCATAGACATCGGCCTAACCGACTATGTGAACCAGTAATAATTGTTAGCTGATATTTGGAGAGGTAATGACCCCCAGGCCCAGTAACTTCATTTATGCTCTGTGATATCACAAGTAGAACAAAAGTATGTCATGCTCTTTCGCTTCAACTCATTCGTCTAAGCTATTTCGCTTCAGCTCTTTCGCCTCAACTCTTTCGATCCAGCTCATTCACCAGCGCTTTCGTACCAACGCTTTCGCTTCAGCTCTTTCGCCTCAACGCTTTCACTTCAGCTTATTCGCCTCAGCTCTTTCGCCTCAACTCTTTCGCTTCAGGTCTTTCGCTTCAAGTATTTCGCCTCAGCTCTTTCGCCTCAACTCTTTCGCTTCGTCTCTTTCGCTTTAAGTATTTTGCCTCAACGCTTTCGTTACAGCTCTTTCGCCTCAACGCTTTCACTTCAGCTCATTCGCCTCAACTCTTTCGCTTCGTCTCTTTCGCTTCAAGTATTTCGCCTCAACGCCTTCGCTACAGCTCTTTCGCCTCAACTCTTTCACTTCAAGTATTTTGCCTCAACGCTTTCGCTACAGCTCTTTCACCTCAACGCTTTCACTTCAGCTCATTCGCCTCAGCTCTTTCGCCTCAACTCTTTCGCCTCAACTCTTTCACTTCAAGTATTTTGCCTCAACGCTTTCGCTACAGCTCTTTCACCTCAACGCTTTCACTTCAGCTCATTCACCTCAACGCTTTCACTTCAGCTCATTCGCCTCAACTCTTTCGCTTCAGCTCTTTCGCTTCAAGTATTTCGCCTTAACGCTTTCGCTACAGCTCTTTCGCCTCAACGCTTTCACTTCAGCTCATTCGCCTCAACTCTTTCGCTTCAGCTCTTTCGCTTCAAGTATTTCGCCTTAACGCTTTCGCTACAACTCTTTCGCCTCAACGCTTTCGCTTCACCTCTTTCGCATCAGCTCATTCACCTAAGATATTTCAACTTGGCTTTCAGGCTTCAGCTCTTTCGCCTCAGCTCTTTCGCCCTAACTCTTTCGCTTCAAGGCTTTCGTTTCATCTCACATCACCTCAGCACTTTCGCCTTAACTCTTTCGCTTCACCTCTTTTGCCTCAGCCCATTCACCTAAGCTCTTTGGCTTCACTTCTTTCGCATCAGCCCTTTCTCTTTTGATCTTTCAACTCAGCTTTCAGGTTTCAGCTCTTTCGTCTAAGCAATTTCGCTTCAGCTCTTTCGCCTCAGCTCATTCACCTAAGGTCCTTCGCTTCAGTTCTTTCGCCTCAGCTTTCGGGCTTCAGCTCTTTCGTCTCAGCACTTTCGCCTCAGGTCATTCACCTAACCTCTTTCGCTTCTGCTCATTCAATTCAGCTTTTAGGCTTCAGCTCTTTCTTCTAATCTATTTGATCTCAGCTCATTCACCTCAGCCCTTCGCTTCAGCCCTTCGCCTCAGCTCTTAGCGAAGCTCTTTGCGAAGCTATAGTGCAATCATCATCGTCATTATCTTTCGACCTCGATATGGTTGGTCGGAACTCCATTGACAATGCCTTTCCATACTTTTTGGTCTTGCATTACTGTTCCCAGATCCCCAATGTCGAACCCTGTGTCCCGTGTTATGGTGTCTGGGAAAGTCTATTTTCGTGAGAAGACCCTTCCAGAAGGATGCTATAGGAGTAAGGATGCGACGATTTGTCTGTCCGCTCAGTGGCAGCGTCCGACAAACTGTTTTTGTTCGTGCTGAAGAGAAATCAGTTCCAGTTCACCGTGCGAAGTAGTAAGGCCGAGGGTCAGTTATAACCAGCCGGGTTTATCTATATAAACGCGTAGTTATGCTGAAAAGGCAGACTGGAGAAAAATTTTGAAGAGAGAAGACAGAATTGGCCCGGGCGAGCGATGGAAGGAGGAACGCCACTATAACTTTAAGCCCTGCACAGAAATCTTTATCCCTCCATCGCAAAAGTCATATATCGTTCTGGGACGATTTAACAAGATAATCACATACACACTCTCTCTCTCTCTCTCTCTCTCTCTCTCTCTCTCTCTCTCTCTCTCTCTCTCTCTAGAATCCAGTGTATGAGTTTTTTTTTTTATTTTTACTTTTCTTTTCTGTAACCCGTTTCTCTTCTCTACTATTCTTTTCTGCTATATAAAAGACATTACCAATTCAACCATTGAATCAATGTTTGTCCGGCTTTCTGCAGATATTATTTTTATTTATTTATTTATCTTTTTTGGGTTTTTTTTTTGCTGCATTCTAAATTTCTTAACGCAGACTCCTCAGCCGTGTCTACATCTTCAGTCGACAGTAAATGGACGATCATCACTTCTTGTTTCTGGATCAAACAAATCACAACGTGGGCAGGAAGCAGGATTAAACCAGCGGACCAGTCGAATAATCTACGGATGCTCAGGGAACCTATGGCCAGTCCCTTAAGTTCGGTTAGGACCGAGTAGACACCTCAACCCCGAGAGTAAGAGGCCGGAGATTGAGGAGCCGAGAGACGAAAGATTTAGAGTATTAATGGAAGCTTTCTTTCTAATATTTTGTTCGGAATAGAATGGAAAGTTGCCACATTGATGATGTCATTATTTTCTCTTCGAGTTACGTATGCTATCCATTTTAGTTGTTGCTGCTGTTGGAAGTCATGCGGTAGCTGTTATTTGGTACAGTTCTTTGTTTGTGACTGTGTATCGCCAGTCCACAAGGGTGGTCCTTCTACAGTGATCAGTCACTAAAAGCCATTATTAATCCTTAATCTGTGAAATGTGGTTGTATTGAGATGTGTTAACCCACGTAAATAACCTCAAATGGCGGCTCTGGGATGGTGAAAGATAAAAAAAAATAATCAGTGCTTAATACGTTTATAATTAACTGATTTTACAAAAAATCAGTTAATATCAAACGTATATATAAATCGTTCGTTTCTGTTCTCTCTCTCTTTCTCTCACTCTCCCCCCTTCACCCTCTCTCTCTCTCTCTTTTCTAATGTTTTCCCTTGATCTTTCTTGATCGCTAAAACAACCACGTGACTAGTGGTGGATAAATAATGTCGTGGGTGCGATCGCGCGAATGGCTGTGTGTCAGTGACAAATGAAGAATTTGTTCGGCCGACTGCTATTAACGTTTCAACTGTCTATCATTCATCATCACGCACCAATCTCACCACCACTCGAAGGGAGACCGTGCAGATTTGCCTGATGACGACAGACACACTCTAATCAAAGAAGCAAATATAAAATGGGACATCCACACTCCCCACATACATACATATATATATATATATATATATATATTTGAGAATTCTTCTTAATACATAAATATTCCAGTACAGTCGTGGATATATAAGTATTTATACATACATATATATATATATATATATATATATATATATATATATATATATATATATATATATATATATATACCAGAACTAATGATTTTGATTTAATTATATAATTAAATTTGAAGTTTTTAGCTTCGGTTTTTGAAACATGGTAATTCCTGCTTAGCGAAGAAACCATATTTTAAATCAGTTAATTTATAATATTTATGCTCTGTAAGTTTACATTGAGCACTATTTTGTAAAAAATAAAAATACCAATAGGAACACTGGATTATATATCTTATTGTTCTTTCTTTTTATTAAAAAAAATATATGTGTGTGTGTGTGTGTGTGTGAGAGAGAGAGAGAGAGAGAGTGAGTGATGCGATGGGTAAATTGTCGCCATTTTATATTTTTAATTTGTTTTTTGTCGACTGCACAGTATAGTAGGGTCAGTTGGGCACCGTCTCTGTGAGAGAAAAGAGACCAAAAACACACTCACTTAAATTTAAAAAAAAAAAATCAACCTTAGCGTTGCGACTGCACGCTTCAAAAGCTTGTATCCGTTATCAACAACACATTTAAAAAACATTTCGATTCCAATAATATTTTTTCGTCTCGGATGCTACCTGAATTTTACCAAAAACAAAATAATTCCCATGGCTGAAGATGGCTGAATGTACAGTCGAAAGTACTTATGTATTAAAGAAAGATCCTATACAGCTTATAATTTTAAAAGACAATGACCATAACATTCATTGAGTGATTGGTTGGTTAATGTATCTTAAAAATTTTGTTAGCGAAGGGTTTTCGCCATTTTATATCATTAACTTTACTAATTTACTTTTTATATGAATGATTCATTGTAATATATATATATATATATATATATATATATATATATATATATATATATATAGGTAGGTAGGTAATGAAAGGTTTGGTAATCCGTGTGGATAATCCCAAGGAGGATGTAATCCAGAGAGCAATGTCAAACCAGAGCAAATATTAATTTAATTTAAATTAGAAAACAGACAACATTAAGGGTCCATTGATTATATTTTATTTCCCCAGGAATGTCGTTGCATTCATCATATATATATATATATATATATATATATATATATATATATATATATATATATAGAGTATCCTGCCATCTTCGACGTATGAAGATAAAAGTATTCCGAGAATTGAACAGTCAAATTAACCGCTTTTATGATTTGATTAATGTGGCGAAGACAACTGGTGTGAATAGTATACCACAAGATTCCTAAGCAGCCCTTCTAAGGTTTTGAATTCAGAGTTGTCCGTCTAATAGTCTGGTTGCCAATCAAGATTAACAGCCATGTTTGTTCGACAATTTAACCTATATCTGGGGGAAGACATGGATTCATAACTTCCCAAAGATTATTTGCGCGTGAGTAAATATAACGAACTCGAATTGAATTTGAACTGTTTGATTGAATTAGTCTGGCTCAATTTTTTATTTATCGAATTCACCCCAAGCAAGGCAGTAAAGCGACTAAGTCACAAATTTCTGTTAATATTTTCCCCTCAAAAATGTATAGCTGGTAATATTGTTTTTCCAAACACGTATAGCTGGTAATATTATTTTTTGATAATAATTTTTACAAAGTATTTCTGGTATTAAAAACCTATTTTTACACTTTTATAATGCTTTTTACCTCAGTTTCGGGGTTAACTATTTGCCCGAAGCTGGGACCCTAACGGGACGGAGTGAACCTTAGAACACCAGCAATAAGTGGTTCCACGCTCCTCAAAACGTCCTGATCAGAGGCCTTACTGTTGCACGTAGTTTATCGTCTTACCCAGAACGCAGATGTAGTATCAGTTACAGGGTTAACTATTTGCCCATAGCTGGGACCCTAACAGGCGTTACCAACCCGGGTCAGGGTGTAACTGGGAATACCAGCAATTAAGAGGTGGTTTCACGCCCCTCAAAACCTCCTGATCAAAGGCCTTGCTGTTGGACGTAGTTTATCGTCTTACCCAGGACGGCTGGATGGGAGAGCATATTATATATATATATATATATATATATATACACTGAACTCTCCAGTAGATTTTGACGTATGAGGATCAAACAATTCAGTTCCTAGAAATCTACAGCCAGAATAATTTGATTATAGTGGTGAAGGTTTGTGCAGAACCAACCACACATTTTGGGAGGGCTGAATGCCGGGAAGGGGATGCACAACGCGCCACAAGCTCCCAAAAAACACTCAAGAGGTTTTGAATTCAGAGCTATCCTTCTCCTTACTGGCTGAACCCAATCTGTCCTGTCATTTACCGATAGGTGGGTTGGGAGAAGAAAAGAATTCGTACCTTCCCCAAGGGTATTAGTTCGTAATTCGACTGGAATTCGAACTCGGCTCTTCGGTTCCTCAATCTGAGTGGCTATCCATTACTCCTAATAATGCCGCCTACTCCACCGTGCCCTCTCTCTCTCTCTCTCTCTCTCTCTCTCTCTCTCTCTCTCTCTCTCTCTCTCTCTCAGAGTATTGCTGCCATATATGGTCTGGAGCCCCTTCTGTTTGCCTCGGGGTTCTTGATAGATTACAGAGACGGATATGCAATATAATTGACCCTGATCTGGCATCCCGTCTACAGTCACTCTCTCACAGACGTGCCGTCGCCTCTCTCTGTCTGTTTTACAAATACTTTCATGGCAATTGCTCCGAGGAGCTACATTCGCTGGTTCCCAGACTTCATGAATACAATAGGAATTAAGATTACATTAGGTTAATGATTATTTTCACCTTGTAAACTGAAATAAAATTTGCGAGGATTTTTCCAACCAGTCAATAGATGATAAATCACTGAAACGAC